GAAAAGGTCATCGAATCGGAGACTTTCCCACGACAGGAAGGAGCCAGACCGTGGGAAAGGTCGTCGAATCAGACTTTCTACGATAGGAAGGAGCCAGACCGTGGAAAGGTTGGGTGCGGGACTTTTGGTGCGTCCGGACTGGCACGCGGCGAATTGCGCGGCGCGCATGCGCGGCGATCCGGATGAGACAAAGCTTTCCGTGTTCAGTAGTAGAATTCGAAACGTCAAAGCGCATCAGATTGCGGATAAACACCCATTTGCGATTAAGGCACGCTATAAATAGGAGTTTTTACTGCAATGTTTTTCAGTGTCAACTATTTATTGCTTTTCTGATCGTGGCGCTCGTGTCTCTAATCGTAAGAGGACATTCAAAACAGCCGATGGTGGTGACACTAGGACTAAGCCCAGTAGGGGGAGGAACGCCTGGAAGAACACAATTTGCTCCCAGAATCCCCTTTCCCTGAGGCTCAGTTCCAAGCACAGTAATTGGCTCACTCACTGCCTCTCCCAACGACATGACGCCCTGATCGCTGTCACAGCTTTATGTCAACTCCTTCTCATCCCTTCTTACCAAAGTTTCCTGATTGTCACCGCTGAAACTTCGCACGTTGGAATGTAATTGAGTCGCAGAACCTTGCGAAATTTATCCGTTTCACATTTTGACGCGGTAAATTCCACTGCAGACGCCCGCGAGATTTGCATCCGGATTGCCGCGCAGCCGCAGCGCGATGCCGCGTGTGCCATCCCGGACGACACCAAGAGGTCCGTGGGAAAGGTCATCGAATCGGAGACTTTCCCACGACAGGAAGGAGCCAGACCGTGGAAAACTGTGAGCTAAGCCAGAAGCATATTTCACGTTTTCACTGGAGATGCCTGTATGCGTTGGGCAGAGCAGCAATTCGACTGTAAGCTCTCCAGCTGCCACTGAGGATGGTAGTACCGTGCTCGATGTACTACTTCATGATGAGCCGCAGTAGAGTTGAAACGTCTTTCCTTCGGACCATCCGAAGGAGTCCACTTCCTCTTTCAATGCCTCCAAACAGCCACTTGTGCCTGCGTACCCAACGTCGGCGGTTGTATTTGCGTTTGATAACCAGTGTTTCGTCAATTTCCATCTCGCACCCGAACCTTCCGATGATCGGCGGGTTCCTCCTGAAGTGCCCCACACATACGTCGCGGAAGAACCGCTCCCACTGAATTGAACTGGTGTGGCCGACGTTGAGCTCGTATTCCTTGTCCTTCACCTTGCCCATGTCGCGCAGCCAGAAATAGGGCAGTGCGAACACCGTGGACTCAGGAAAGTTACAGTTCTCGAAAAAGGAATCCTTTCGGGCATGAACCCTGGTCTCGTTCGACGGTCCAGTGCGGCACGCTCGACGATTGCAAATCCAGCCGTTGTGCCGTTCGTCGTTGATCAGGCTCATGGATCGTTGACATGAATGGCATAGTGGCACAGACATCAACCCCATGGATCGCAACCAGTAAGTGCAGATTATTCAACTTGAGCGTCTCGTACACGTCCTTCAAGGCTAAGCCCAGTAGCTCTCATTGACGATTGTGTCGCTAAAGAGTAGCAAGAGCCATCGTTATTCTCCGTTGTCGAAAACGTGAAACATGCTTCTGGCTCCTTCCTGTCGTGGGAAAGTCTCCGATTCGATGACCTTTTCCACGGTCTGACAGTCGGCGCTCTGAGAAAGGTGCCTAAGAGTACGCTCTGACTGTGAAGTGTTGTTTGTGACACCACATGGCGCCGGCGTCAAGACTGGATGTTATATTCGTGATCAGGACCCAAATAACCCCTATACACACGTTTTCAGCGGATTTGGTGGAAACAGCCGTGGCGCCAAATTGGCGCCAAACGGCGCCAAATGGCCAGCGCCAAAAACGGGTGTCGTTTTCGTAATCAGGACCCCAAATAACTTCGTAATGCATACATAATCGCAAAGTTTCGACGAAAAATGAAACTTTGAGATTTTGGGGCAGTAATCGTGGGATAGTGCCAATAGGGGAAGGCTGAAAACGGTGAAAAACCAAAGTTTCAACTGGGGAAGTAATGCATATCATTCGATAGCATTTTTCACGGGGAAGCTAACGGGGCACATTTCAGGTCTGCGAGTTCATCTGGAAATGCAAAAAATCTGAACTTTCCACAAGGGCATGACGAGGAGGCATGTTTGGGGCCACACCACGGAAGGAACGCTCACTTGCGACCGAGTTTTCCACATAATCCTACAGACAAGTGACCGTAGTCTACGACAGTGAAGGAAATTGTTCGCTATCTTCACAGCTTTCTGCAAAACATCTCCTCTGAAAATGGAAAATGTCACATAATAGGCCCACTATGCCTGCTGAGAACTGTTCAAAGATTCCACTTGATATACAGAGGATGGGATATTGAGAGCAGAGGGAACACGTAAAGCCAGTAAGCGCTTAAAAACGAAATGAAGATCTAAGAATTCGGAAAATAACATTCATCTAATCTCACAATGTAGTGGATGAGATTGAGTACGTGGCGCATTCTGGGGTAAGTTTTGAGGCCCTTCTCTGTGTGTAGCGGTCAGCCCGCATAAGCGGGATTATATACACATCACATGCGAGCAACTACTTTTTGAGATGAAAATCGAGTGCATGGCGCAATCCTATATGGAGCTTTTCCAAAGTATCAAAGCATTTCTTATAGTGTCCGACGAGCTGAATTCAAAGATATCTTCGGATTCTCGAAAGCTCAATTTTGAACCGAGTTATAACGAATTCACGAAATTAACGAGGATTCGCGTTATTCGCGTGGCAGTACCACGTTAGCGACTTCAGTCGTGTGTCGGAGCGATGGAAGCTTGTGCATCGTTCATGTCTGAGCTTGTCCTCTCATTTTTTGATGTCTGAGCTTGTTCTTGAGCTCCTCGAGGCCCGGTGCCAGCGAGAAATAAACCTCTAGAAAATGAGGAGAGCGTGGCATATGGCTCGAGAGAAGCTCAGAAAACCTCGTAGACTATCTGACTCGTAGATTAGTCCAGCGCCCAAGAAATAATTCCAATCGTAAGATCCGATTGAATTTCCTTTTTTTTCCACTGGCCTCCACTTCGCTGATCTACCGCCCATTTCCGAGTGAATAGCACAGCGCTAAACGAATCACGACATGCGTCAGATAATTATTAGGTTGTCCCATAATTAGTGAATCACTTTGGGTATTTTTGAATTCAAATTTTTTTTCTTTTTTATGTGGAGTCTTTGCTCATCCAAACATACATCTCTGTCATCTACAATGTATTGCCTATACAAGGAAATTTAGTCGCTGTCTTATCTCTAGAATTCCAGGAGCTATTGATCGAAGAAAGATCGGAAGTCGAGTTTGAGGTCATGTCACTTAGCGTAAAGTTTCTTCCTGGAGAAGAGCGCTAGAGGTCAGACTGAGTTGTCTTTTGTTGACACGAGGATAGGGCCACATATAGGAGGTGAAAGAACTGCTAGCCTGGAAGTCTCCAATTTTTTATGAATATTCTCCGCAAGTGGGGTTTCAGCATGCACTCAGGAAAAGCAGACTTTGTCTTGCTTTACTTTCAAATTGAATGCGTCGCCATTACGCTGTAGATGTTGATCTTCTTCAGTGACCCTGGTATTACTGGGCGGCGGTTCCCAGCGCAAGGTCACTCTCGTGCTCATACAATATCTCGGAAGGGTCGGACTCAAAGGGGGTTCGGCTTTTGCTGTCAGAACTCCCGAACCCTTCATGCTAAGCTGCTGCTTGTTGGAGATTTGCTAGTACACTTCACCCAGTCCAGAACCCTGATGCATATGCCGGATGATCACTGTAAGGAACTAAGGGAGATCAGAAGGAACATGATGATGTCAGATCGTGTGCGGAGCTGTTTCGAGCTCAAAGCACACGAGATACAAATAAAATATTTTAAAATCGTTACAACTCTACGTAGATGTCTACATTCCATCATTTTAACAAGTCGGACATGCTCTAGCAAATGGCGACTAAGTTTGTCCAGATCCACCCTCAGTGGCGCTGGGTACAGCAGTGAGATTGCCAGTTGAGGGGTAGTTGGAGTGTGGGTCATCTTCAACTAAAAAGCCAACCTCTCGATAGAGTGAACTACAAGCAGACCGTGGATTGAGGGAGCGTGCCCTCGCCTATCTGCTGGTTGATTCTCTATGTTGTTGGGCGTTTGAAAGATCCTAATCAGAAGTGATTAAGAAGGGAGCTCAAAAATAGGTTCCAGAAAAATTGAAGTATCAGCCACGGAAGGCAGCATGTAAATGGGCTGAGTAATTGCTCAGGTAGGATAATGTGGATGCTACTTCGCAAAACATGTTTCACGCCTTCACCATTTTTCTTGGATTTTTAATAACAATAAATGTAAAGTGATTCACTAATTATGGGACAACCTAATTGCTGTCCCTTTACGTTTTCTGCCCAGTGCTCCTCTGTGAAGGTCACGGCGCTGTTAAGCTTCTTAGTGGGCTCCAGAATCTCAAAATTTATTATTCGTCGAAACTCTGCTAAAAGGGGTGACTGCTCTGCCACGAATATGATATTCATTTTTCCCACTTGGCACCAGTTTCTGCCACTTTGTCACAACAGCTTTTAACAAAC